TTCAGGTCTCGTAGCCTCTCCTCATAGGGCCTGCCCCTGATCATGCAAGTGGCCCTCCTCTGGACCCTCTCCATGTTGTCCACATCCCTCTTGAAGTGCGGCGCCCAGAACTGGACGCAGTACTCCAGCTGCAGCCTGACCAGTGCTGCACAGAGGGGGAGTACCACCTCCTTGGACCTGCTTGAGATGCATCTGTGGATGCATGACAGGGTGCGGTCGGCCTTCCTGACTGTATCCCCACACTGCTGGCCCATGTTCATCTTGGCATCAATGATGACTCCAAGATCCTTTTCTGCCTCTGCACTGACGAGAAGGGAGTTCGCCTGCCTGTAGGTGTGGTGCTGGTTCTTCCTACCATAATTAATATGGTAATTATGAAAAGGTTATGCTGCAGAAAGTCTATAGATAACATTTTTTCCTTCCGTGACATTATGAAACAAAAAGGACGCTCTGGATTAAAATTGAAGTGAACATAAGAAAAAAAGAATAGAGAAAAGGTAACTTCTGGTTGGCAATCTAAACTCTGCACTTATTACTAAGGAAGCCTGGAACCATACATTTGTCTCATGGAGTTCATTAGTTCTTACACCTGAGCCTAGTGCAATCCTTTTATATCAAAGAGTACCAGCAGTTAAAAGTAAGGTGAACTCATGCAAATTGTAGGAAGCGATAAAGCAGTCTCAGAGACTCCAGTAAAACAGTTCCATGCCTTGAAGAAAATTGAAATCTTATAAACTGCAATATGGAAATGTACTACTTTTTAAATAACAGACCTCTAAATATTCTTGGAGGCTCTATTTAACCTCCATACTCTTCATTTTGCTAATTAATGCACCTTTATGATTAGTTGATATGAGCCACTGAATATATTTATTTATAAATTATGGTGTAATAATAATGTGAAGCAAGCACCCTCTTTAAGATTCTGACATTAAAAATTAAATAAATGATACCAATTTGGTAAAAATGATCTTATTGTATGCATAGTGTATTTATAAAAATAAAAATCTATAGACTTGCCTTATCTGAATAAATTTATAAGCCATATCACAAATAACAAGGCTGTGTGTATGGTACTATAAAATCCTTAAACAGATGTTCACTTTCTCCTCATTTAAAATCTTATTGAAAATGAATTGCTCTTACCTACTATGGAAAGAATGACAACCACAAAATCGAATATGTTCCAGCCTATGGTAAAGTAATAATGACGGAGTGAGATCAGTTTCAGGACACATTCTCCAGTGAAAAGGATAATGAACACCAGGTTAATCCGAGATAAAATAGTTTCCATATCTTTACTCTGATCATCTGTTTCTACCATCATTGTAACCATGTTAAGGCAGATAAGAATCATGATGCTGATATCAAATACTTGCTTTGTTACAAAATCAAATACCATGCCTTGGAATTTGTTCTGCCAAAAACAAAACAAAACAAAACAAAACAAAACAAAACATTAGAAATACTTTTGGTACCCTGAAAATACCCTTTTTCTTTATAAACTGCAAATTAAAGAATAGCAGTTTTATAGCACATATTGGCTTTGCAGAACAGGAACAACTTGCAACTGATCTGGTAACATCATTTTCCTACTACATGCTGCCTGAGGTGTGCTAGAAAGGAGTCACCATTTGTTGGAGAGGCATAATGCCACCTGGTTAAAATGTGATGGCAATAATGTAGGAAATTAAGATTAGTCAAAACAAAAGAAATGGCAGTGACTTAGTCAAGAAGGAGCCAATTTATTATTTGTCATAGCTATTTTCACCACTTTTTGCTCCAGGGTTGTACACATTCTATATTTCTGGAACTGCCTTGTAGTTGCTGATTTGATTGTATTAGTTAATTTGTTACAGCTTTAATCCATTATACTGGGTATTTTCTGCAATATGTATCACTTCCCAACTTTCCAAAAGGGTTCAGCAAACTATACACTATGAGGTGCACAACGACTCTCCCCATATCCACTGTCATGTTCTTACTACATTTCTTTAGAATTGAGACTGACTAGGATCTTTGTGCCTAAGGCATGCCAGTTTGCCACTATTGCCCTTCCTATTTGCTGGTATTCTGGGAACCACCCGACAGGACTGGTGCATTCCCATTTCTTACAGAGGTCTTCTGGATCAGCAGAGGGGTAGAAGTCAGTGTTAGAAAGTACCATCTATTGCTGCAAAACAAGAAGAGCCAATAAACAGCTGAAATTCCCCATGCCTGTTCTGGGACTTAGGTGGTAAATCCTGACATTTATTGCAGGTGCCTAAGAAATTTGTACTTTGTATGCCCAATGTACATACTTTAAACCACAATTAAGAAAAACCCCCAGTTACTCTTACATGCTAAACTAACAAGAAGTGAGGAAAATTTCCTAGCTCTGGGAAAAAAACAGGAAAAATGGCTTCCTTGGCAAAACAGCCTCAACTACAGTCTTACATAGGCATTAAATGCTAGCGGAGTGAAGACAGAATCACTCTTACCACTGGTCTAGGTATAGGTTTTTGTGGTTTTTTGGACCCTAGTTTCTTCATTGCATTGTAATATTTCTTCTGCTCTTCTGTCATAAATATGTCTTGACCTCCAAAGTAAAGAAATGAGATAAAAATTGTTACAACCATGTTTTGGCTATAGCCTTTATGTAAGTATGCACCATATCATTTAGTTATGGATATTATTGAATTTATATTTGAGTCATAAGTTAAGATTTTGATTTTCAGGTATTTATATGCTGGAATTTTGTTTTGAACAGTATTAAGCATAATAGTGGTGTGACTGACTTTTCAGCAACTTTTCTCAGTCCCGGACGCTGAAAGTGCATCCTAGGGAAGGAGTGTGTTTGGGACATCACGCTGTTTTTGTAGTCTCTGATTGTTGAAATGGCTCTTAAGGTTGCAGCCAGCCATTTGCAAATTGGGGAATCCTTGATACTGCTCTAGTTTGTGTGGAGGCCCAGTCCTGGTTGACTCCAGGGTTAGGCAGGTTGAGAATGAATGGTTAAAAAAACAAAACAAAAAACCACCTTTGAAAAATTCTGTGCCCCAGTTCTCAGCTTTGCCAAGAAAGCAACATGGTTCTAGCCCAGAATTGAGATCATAATGGATAAAATTGGTTTAGGAGAAATGAGGAGATATCCAGGGGCAATCGTAGATTATGTCAGAGGAAAACGTGAAGTAAAAAAATGCAGAGCCTTTAGTGTGTGTGTGTGTGTGTGTATATGTGTTTTATCATTCGTTTCTATTTGTATTTACAAAGTCTGTTGGTCAAATGCCCAGTGGCTTCATTTGTGGGAGTTTTCAGTATTCTCACATGTTCACAGTTCACTGTGGGCATAAATAGATATCCAGACTCAGTGTCAGTCCCTCAGTGGCTGCTACACTGGAAGTTTAAGCTCAAGTTATGGCATTTGTTGACTGAATCTTTTGAAATTTTTTTTTTGGTCTGTACTTGTTCTGAGCAGAGAAATGGAAGGTTTAAAAATATCCATATCACAACATCTATTTTTATGATTCATGGCTCAATTTTACCTTAGTTTTGCTGGAAGAAAAACTGAAAGGTTTTTATTGCTTGTTTTTTCTGACTGGTTGATAAGAAGGGCTTCAGTTTAGGCCATACAATTTTCACAGCAGATGCAATGATTTATGATGGAGCTCAAACTTTTAGCTTCACTAGAAGACTTAGGTGTCTCAGAATCCTAGAGACTCCTTTTTTCATTAAAATGTTTTAAAACCACTTGAAAGTTAAGTAGTTGCAGCAAAAAAAATAAAAATTCTCCTTTTCCTTTTTTGTACTATTATTAAAAAATCTCTCATAAGGCATAAATTAGAAAAGAGTAAATATGGCTTACAAATTCTTCCCATCTCCTATAAATTTGTGTGGATTAAAAATCATGGGACTTAGTCCTGCAAGTCCTAACTCACAAAATACATCATCACAGTCATACCCACAGCAGCAAATTATGTTACAAAATAGGTGCGTAAGGCGATTTCTCTTTTTTTTTTTTTTTTAGAAATAAGTATTTGAAATAAATGGTGTCAACATCTTCACAATGCATGAGCCATTTTTTTTTTGTAAGGAATGATTTGAAAGGAAATAGGCTTAGAGTGGATAGCTTTTTGTTTACTTTTATAGCAGTAAAAAAATATTTTAAATACTTATCTTCTTTTTTTGTTGGTTGAAGTTATCGATGATAACACCAATGAAAAGGTTTAAGGTAAAGAATGATCCAAAGATAATAAAGATGACAAAGTAAAGATACATGTACAAGTTATCCTCATACTTTGGCTGATCTTGGACCTACAAAATATAATCAATTGATATATAATCTATATGCTGAGTGTCTAATTTTTTTCATTTATAAAACAGCAACATGTGGGAAGCACTTGGACTATCTAAAGCTTTATCTATGAAATATATTTTCTTTTGTAATACTAAGCTTTATGATATCTCTTTCTATGTCTCCTTCTACAGACAGAAAAAGAGAAATAGAAGTCCTAGCATGGTGAAAACAGGGAGTAGGAGAAGAATGGGAAATGCATCATCTTTACTCAGTGACACATTGCAGCCATTAATGCTTTTCATTTTAGCAACCTAAGTTTAAGTATCCTCTTATTTGTATATGTATACATTTGCATATTCAGAGCCATTTAAACCATGGAGAGGTTTACAGCCCTCTATTACATCCCCTGCCCCCCATCCACATTGGAGTGCTTCAGAATTGCCACAGTTGCATGAAGCAGCATACTTTCCAGCCAAGATGCAAAGCCAGGGTCCTGCAGCTCTGTTCCCCCCTCCCCCCAAGAGTTGTGGCGAAGTGGGATGGGTAGCCAATCAGCACTTTCTTGTGCACTCAGTCTCTTTTTTAGGGTGCTTCATAAGGTATATTGCTTTCTGCTCACTGTTTGAAGTGCTTCAAATGTTACTTCTATCCAGGACCTGAGAGAGGCCAGTTGTGGTAGATTCCCATTTCCTATTGTTTGTTTGGAGTCTGTTAGATAGACTTCATCCTTCCCCCAACCATAATATTCATTATTTCATTTCAATTCATTATTCATTTCTGTCACAACTGTTCTAGCCTCTGCTTCCACATCTGTATTCTCAAGGTACATTGACAGTGCACAATACAATGTGCAATGAAACAGGGTAGATTAACTCAAGTCAAATGCCATGCTAACACACCTATGTTCTTATTGGTACCTCAGTTAGCTCACTGAGAGCTAGTTTGGGTAACTTTACACAGCACCGCATTTTAGACAAAGTGCTGTGTAGGAATCCTTTTAACTTTCTGGGGCAGCCAAGCTAAGGTTCTGCTCCTTTGATACATTTTCAGGTGATCTTCAAACATGAAAAGTCATTTGCGCTTAAAGTTGGATAACATATAGCGCTCTGTGTAGTATATTTCTCTAAAAATAATGTATACTTTTTCAGCAATTTATGCTGATGATTTAACAAATAAAGTGTTAAAACACCATCACCTGTAGTCTTTAAAATGAGACTGGATATTTTTCTGAAAGGCAGTCTACATAAATTAAAACAAACACAGATTATAAGTTTGATAGAAGTAAGGAAGACTAACGCTCTCCAATACAGGACTCCAGGGTAACATTCTATCACGTGTTACATAGGAAATCACATTAGATAATTTAAATAGTCACTGAAAAAAATCTCTGAATGTGTGTGTAATGTTGTTGGTGTGTTTGGTTTTTTTAAATTTCACTATCTATGTAGTATACCAGCATATGGTCAATTAATGGTCTGAGAACTTATACTTACATCTCGTGAATCAACAGCTGCATACATAATATCCATCCATCCTTTGAATGTAGCCTAAAATAGAACACATGTGTTCACCTTCCCTGTAAAAATCCAGGCTCTAGAGAATTACTGGGGTTCAGCATTTAATAACAAATTCATATCAGCAATGTACACACTATACTGAAAAATAGGGTATAATAAAAGATATTTATTTAGCCATATTCTCTTCACTTTCTTCATAAATAGTTATCAGACAATCTAAAATGCTCAAAGTATGTTTCAGCAGTATAGTTTGTAGCCATGTTGGTCTAAAGACATAGGCAGACAAAGTTATTTGGCTAAATCCGATATTTGTCATTAGACCAACTGAAATAGCTGGGAAAAAAATCTTCTTTGCAAACTTTCAGGTACAAATGCCCTTCATCAGGCTGAGGAAGCATCTGCAGTTTGCCTGTGCTCTTCCTGGATGTAATAGGAAAAAAAGCCAGAAGCCAATATGCATGTGAGAAAGCTAGTCAATGAAAACGTAAATTGAGGTAGTCAATGGGTGAGAGACAGGTCAGGGGAAGGGGGGAAAAGGGGGATGAATATAGCTGGGAAATGGTAGAGAGGTTACCTGGGGAGTTAGATGTCAGGCAGGTTATGATGTATCATACATCCAGTGTCTATTAGGTCATTATTTTTTGTATCTAGTAAATTGATAAAGTTAAGTTTGTAGCCTTGTCTGTGAAAGGTGTTTTGTAAAGTCCCTTTGAGGATTAGAATTGAGAGATTGGAGACAGAAAAATTTTCTTGTGAAAAATGTGCTCCCATATGTAGTTGAGTATTCCTGTCTTTGATGGATTTTCAGTGTGTGTTCATTCTGGTGCGCAGTTGTTCTTTGGTTTCTCCTACATATTTTCCATCAGGACATTTAATGCACTGGATGAGATACTACATTTCTGAAGGTGCAGGTGTAAGATCCAGGAATCTTGATGGTTCTGTTGTGAAGGATAGTAGTTGTGGGGGTGGTGATATGTTGGCAGATTCTTATGCCTCCCCCTCAAGGAACATTTGCACAAACAAAATGAATCCACTTCCAACACTTTCAACATTCCTGGATCTTATATCTGCATCTCCAGAAATGTTATATATCTCATCCAGTGCACTACATGCCCTGCTGAGAAATATATAGAAGAAACCAAACAACTGTGCACCAGAATGAATGCACCCTGAATATCCATCAAAGACAGGAATACCCAATTACATCTGAGAGTACATTTCTCACAAGAAAATCTTTCTTGCTCCAATCTCTCAGTTCTAATCCTCAAAGGGACTTTACAAAACACCTTTCACAGATGAGCCTACAAATTTCACTTCGTCAACATGCTGGATACAAAAAACCATGGGATAAATAGACATGGGATTTATGACACGTTATAACCTGCATAACATCTGACTCCTCAGGTAACCTCTTTATCATTTACCAGCTATATTCATCCCCCTTTTCCCCCCTCTTCCCCTGTGTCTCACCCATTGACTACCTCAATTTATGTTTTCACTGACTGGCTTTCTTGCATGTATACTGGCTTCTGGCTTTTTTACTATTCCATCCAGGAAGAGCATAGACAAACTGCAGATGCTTCCTCAGCCTGACGAAGGGCATTTGTACCTGAAAGCTTGCAAAGAGATTTTCCAAGTATTTCAGTTGATCTAATGAAAGATATTGGGTTTACCCAAAGAACCTTGTCTGCCCAAAGTATATGCATCTTTGTACATTATCTCTTCACTTTGGGTGCAGGTGCATATTCAGACTTTGCTGTCAGAAGACTGCAGAGATTTTAGAAGATGTTTTTAAATGAAGAATTAATACAAATTAGGATCATATGTCACTAGGGCTAGAAGGGACTACATAAGATCATTTAGTCCAACCCCCTGCTCAAGGCAGGATCATCCCTGACTAAATCATTCCTATCTATTACTTTCCAGAAGCTGCAGTTCTTCAAGATATGTCATTCCTTTTCCTATCCACTGAGGGTGCACATGGGCCTCAAGCATTTGAGATCAAAACATTTTTTGTTCTAGCTGTACCTATATATAGTATGTATGTGTCCTGCCTCTCCCTCCTGTGAGGCTACCAAGATACTTTAAGCCCATTCTTCCTTTCGTTTTGTGACCACGAAGTAATCATTATAGGACAATTTTGTTCTGTGGGAACCTCTTCTATGACTTCCAGATCCAGGTGGAAGGGGACTACCTGTCAAAGTAAAATCTCATGAGAAGTGTCCCTAAAAGAAAATGTGGACATGAGGTTTGGATACAGGCACCATGCTGAACTGGATAGTATAGCTAAGGTGTTTAAGACTCACTAGGTGTGTCTACACAAGACACTTTACTTGAGATCAGATCAAATTACTGCCTACACGTACAGATGCTTAGTACGTGTAAGTACTGAAAAATAATTTGTTCTAATCATGAGTAAATTTGCTACCTGTAAATACAAGTAGCAAATTTGGTCATGATTAGTTAATGCGCTGTACGGCACATGCAGATGGCTGAAAGATGGAAATTTGCTCCTGGGCAGCAGGGGGTGGGAGATTGCTTCCTGCCCTTGGGAGCTGTCTGCTGCCGGGGCAGGCTCCACCACTGGAGCCCAGAAAGGAACAACGTCCCCATGCCCCAGCAGCAGGGAGCTCCCACTCCCCCTCCCTGATTGCGATCACGAGGAGGGGGCTGGGGAGTCTGTTCCCAGCCCCAGCTCAGTGATCACTGGGTGGGGACTGGGAACAATCTCTGCTGAAATCTGTCCTGGTCAGGGTCAGGTCCCAGCCCTGTGCCCCAATCAGGGAATAGTGATGTGGGGCTTGGAAACAGCTGCAGGGGAGGGGCAGGTCCCAGCCCCCTACCCTGATGGACACTCTTAGTCCCTCCCCTGCAGCTCTTTCCAAGCCCCCTGCCCCTGACTAGGGAGCCAGGGCCAGGAGCTCCCTGCTGCTGGGGCAGGGATACATTGTTCCCATTGGGCTCTGGGGGTGGAGCCCCCCCAAGCGGCAGGCAGCTTCTGGCACCAGGAAGCAACCTCCTAGCCCTGTGGTCCCTGTCAGCCCCTGGACTAGCACCCATGGGGAACCTAGAGCTCCCCCTAGCTGCTGCAGAGGGCTGGTGCAGGGCTGGAGGGGGTGGGACCAGACTGCAGCAAATCTGTGTAGATGCCTGCCCAGGCATCTAGAGTAAACCCACCCTGCAGCATTTGCATGTTTAGTCACACACACTGGATCTAATCCAATGGATGGAAGGATAGGCAGCTGTTGTTCTAGGTATGTCTAGGCATTTTATCTGGGAGAAAAAGGCTTGCATGTTTTCACTTTAGTGTGCAAGAGTGAAAGGCCTGAGCTTCATCCTACTGGTCAAGCAGTCAGCTTGAATTCCTGCCCTCTTCCAAAACACACCCAGAAGGAAGCTGAGATCCCAGGAGAAGGAGGGGGAAGACTATTAGAGATGCCACAGAAACTTTGCTGGCCTAGAGAAAGAATCCCTAATTATGGTTCTGCAGACAGGTGCAATTGTATTGTGCACCATTTAAAAGATTTTTTTTTTTTTTTAAATAAAAAATACTATAACCGGGGTTTGAAGATATCCTCTATACTTGTAGTGGGGAACACTCTTCCTGCCAGTAATACCTTAATTACTAGCAACAATTCAATATGTGTTTTTATGCATTCTAACAGTATATAAAAAAGCAATCATTTTGCTAATGAAAACAAAGCAACTCAAAAAATATGAATTTACTTACTACTTGAAGCAGAGCAAGATACCCAGCTCCTACGTTATCGAAGTTTACTTTTACATTTTTCCATCGGGCACTTTCATTTCTTTTTATAAGCTCTTCACACTGAGTATAATTGTCAACATCACTGACATCAAACATCTCACCAGTTGTAGTATTAACACAGTGGTAAAACTTGCCAGCAAACAGATTTACTCCCATGATACTGAAGATTAACCAGAATATAAGGCAGACCAAAAGCACATTCATGATGGATGGAATTGCTCCAACAAGGGCATTGACAACCACCTAATATACAAATTAAAGAAAAAAACCACAAATGTATCTCTTGCAATGAAAGAGTCAGGCATTTTCTTTAAGTTATATTAACATTTCTATAAAACTAATACTTCATATATTTCATTATAAAATATAGGTAGGAAAAATGATAAAACATTACGACAAAATCATATATTTAATGAAACCACAAAAAGTAAGAGCTAAAAATCTAAATGGAAAGGAAGAAAATGCAAAAAGTGTGAAAAGAAATAAAAGAAAACCTGGTAGTGGCAAGATGGATTCTTAGAACATTTGTGGTCTAGGAAAAAAAAAGAGAAAAACATTAAATATGAAAACATAAATAGAAATCTATAAACAGTGCAACAAAATATTGTTTTTAAAAGCTTAAAGAATGGTGGATAACATGGAAGGGTGATTTTGTAAAAAAAAAAAAAAAATACTGCACATCACACTACAAGTATAGGTGATTTTATTTTTTAGAGAGGAAAAATCAAATACTGTTGTATCTACACCTTATTCTGCTAAAAATCATATACAAAAGTAATATAAGCATTATGTACTTCATTTTGTCATTACATAAGTCATTTAATACCTGGACATTAAATGGGCTTATTCTCTGAACTTACCTAATGTAAAACTTGCACCTTTTTGTTAATTTGTTTTTTCTTCACTATATTTATTTTATATTAAGCAATTTTTCTAGGAAAAGATCCGAGTGTATTCAATGGAGCAAAAGATTTTTTTCACTATCTACAGTTTTCATTATCTCTACTTATTCTGTTTTATTCTTAGAGATGAAGCAACTGACAGAACAGCACATAAGGGCTAGACACAGAAATTACATACCAGTATAAGTGATCAGAACCAGTTAATTTCTGTAACACAACACAAGTTCAAAGCACATACACTACTTTCAAAATGGCTGAAACTGGTTTAAGATAAACTTGGATGGACATAGTATCAGACTTAACTGATTTAGGTTAAATTGTTTTATTGAGCTTCTGCCCCAGATGCCCTCCAGATTCAAGTTAACTCACAGTCCCCCAACATCCAAGGATGCATTGCAGGTGGGTGGGCTAGCCTTGGCCCAGTCTGTCTACTCCAGCTGAGCAGGGAGGCATGCTCTAGTGCCCCCTGGTGCTGGTCTGGGCCACTGCAGACATGTGGCTTCATTTCTGGAATCAAAAGTGAATGTCTGTTCACTTGCTTATTGGGTCAATCCATGCAGCTTAGACTAACCTGCAAAGATGGAATCAATTCAGCTGCAGGCTTTTTGACTGTCTGTACTTAGCCAAGCTATCTGCTAAGTCACGTGAAGCTGTGAGGTTGGTGGAGGTTACTGAATGGTTAATTTTATATGGCTTTGAACATTAATGCAATTTTGTGACCGAGGAACCTGATCCAAAGCCTGTTAAAATCAAGGGGAGTTTTTCCTTTCCTTCATTAGGTTTTAGATTAGGGGTATTTGTTATTTGCAAAGAACTATTATTTTATGTAGCTGCCCGGTCCAGAGGTCCTGGTCATTGTTCATTAATTTTATATATACGTCTGCTTGAGAGATATGCATACATACCCACCCCCATCAAGAAGTGCAGTATTGGAAACTGACAGGGCTTTTTTATATAGAAACTTAAAGATAGATTTGTAAGGCTATCTCTCAGTTACATATTATTATTCATGGTTCTCCACAAATTAGCATGGGCTTATACTTCAACAGAAATAGTGGGTGTTATTCTTAGGCAGACTGTCAAGATAAGGAACTCACAATAATTTCTTAAACAACGCAGAATTGGAGGGTTGCATGGGAAGAGAGGTAAGATCACATAGCCTCACCACAACTTCCTTAAACCTTAGGAGAAAAATACATATTTAAAATTAAATGTTGAGGGTGCAGGGGTGTGGTAGCTAAAAGACTTCAGCCATCTCTTTTCTTCTGTACTTTCATGGGCTATCACATCCATTTCCCCCTGTATTTATTAAGCTTCCTCCCCTAATTCTCCATTATTGATGCCACTCAAAAGCAGTGTACTTTTCCTCCTTGAGGTAGGAAGGAATCTTATGGCTCCTAACACATCTTTTTCTCCACTGCTGGCCATCTTCTTCACTACAGAACTTCTTAGCAGGGGATGGAGACTGGCCACAGAAATCAGGGGATACATCTCCCAAACAGACTGGGTAAAGAACTAGAATTCCTGATTTCTCAGTATGGTCTCTCTTCCTATTCAAACCCACAAATCTAACAGAAATTATAACAGCTTCAAGGCTGAAGTAACAGCTGTGTAGCCATGAGTAGACAGGATGATCTGTTTACAGTTTGACCTTCACAAGTAAACTCTGTGGGCACATCCAGATGTGTGTGGACATTTGGTTCCCTGGGGACAAGTAGTGGCAGCACACCATGCACCACCACTTCTTGTCCCCAGGCATGCAGCAAGTTGCCCAAGGTGGCCTAGAGGAGGCTGTGGCCAGCACTGTGCTGGCCCAAGCAAATTTATTTGGGGTCCTGGGGGCCTCCCAGAGCTGAGGTTATGGTGGTCCTGCTGGGCACAGTCTGGCCAGCAGCCACAGCACAGCTCCAAGTGTCCCAGCCCTGCTTTTAGCAGTACATGCTGCCCGAGCATGCGCTGCTTCACATTTTTTTTTCTGCAGTTGTTTTTTTTTTTGACCCCTGGATATCCTTGCAGTGCACAGAACTCCACACAAGTGCGCTCATTTGGATGCGTTGTGTGGGTTTGTGTGTGCACGTACTCACGCACCTACATGCAATATAAGCATGCTTATAAACAGTGTTCCTTTTCTCTGCCACAACTGTATGTATTTTCTGAGAGGAGTTCTGTGCAGTATACCTGGTATCATAGTATCATATTTAAAATGTGATTGTCATAGAAAAATAGCAGCCACAGTATATGAAATTTTGTAATCTCAGTTGTCAACATTTTTTTTAGCAGGTAATGATATAAAAACTATGCCTTTTCCACACATTGTCAGTGAACACATTAGGATGAATAATATATGTTAACAGTAGTTCCATAATATTTTAAAGAAGAATGCTGCAACCTCTGGGAAATAAAGTAACCTTAATGTCCGTGTCTTATATATATAGGCTGCTTACACTTTTTAAGTTATATGACAAAGTAGCCTTCTGTAGCCTCTGAAATTTAAAAAAGTATAATTCAACATTTTAACAGTGATTCCTAATTCTGAATACATATTTCATTTTTATTCATTCATTTTATCAGATTCTTTTGTTTTAACTCACCCTCATTCCTTCAAATCGTGACAAAGCTCTTAGAGGTCTCAAAGCTCTTAGTGTCCTTAGTGATTTAATGGCACCAAGTTCAGAATAGCCCAAGGCGTTGGCTACTAAACTTACCAATGAGACCTACAGAAAAATAGAATAACAATTGTAATTTTTTTCAGTCATTTCACATTGGGATACGATATATGCTACATAAGTTTCTTAAAAAGCATAAAGGTTTTCCCCAAGAAAAAAGTCTTTAAAAACCAAAGAAATAAAAAGACTTACAGACTACCTACTTATTGAACTCTACTTGCATAAAAATGGTCTTAAAATTCCATGTTTTGTTGGAGTTGTAAGGAACCATAATAACCCTGCTAAAATAGTTTCCAGTTTTATGTAGGGAAAAAAATACTGAATCACAAACATGAAACTTACAAAATCATGTGCTTAAGGAATACCAATTTAGATGCAGACCAAATTAATCAGCTGTTTTATTATTATTTATTATTTACAGTGTACATTAATCTGATTGAAAATAACTTTGCAATTAGTTCACTTAACTAGACCTTTCAATGGATAAAGTCTAAGGAAGAATTCATTTTTACAAAAGGAGGGGCTTATTTTATTGCTATGATAGTTACATTTGTAAAGGAACTTCTGTACTTTTTAAACATATTAGGAAAAAATCTTTCTATCACCTTTTCAGTAATAAGATAGAAGATTATTATTTTTGTCATTACGAAGCAGATTTAGAAGTCATTAAGGAGATTGGCTTTTTCCTGGGTGTTGCATATTTTTTGTATTTTTACAACTGATTTAGTGACCCTAAATGTCAATGGTGTCAAATTGCTTCAGGGGAAATTTAGGTTGGATATCAGGAAGAACTTTTTTCATTATCACAGTACTTAATCAAGATGATTAAGTATTGGAAAAGACTACCTAGAAAGGTTGCAGACTCTCCATCCCTATAAATATTCAAGAGCAGGTTAGACGGACAACCGCTTGTTTAGTCAGGGATAATCCTTCCTTGAGCTGGGTTTGGACTGGGGACCTCTTGAGGACCCTTCCAGCCCTATTATTCTATGCTTCTCTGGGGGAAAGTGGGAGAAGGAAGGGAGAGAGTGGGGCAGTGTCAAGCATTCTCACAACCCAAAGCTAGCAGATGTAGCAGGAAAGGATAGACCTGTTGGGTATAAGTTTCAGGTGAGAAGTGGTAAAAGAGAAAGTAGGAGGAGGCATGTTAAAGGGGAAGAAGAAGGAAGACCTATATGGTGAAGGAGAAAGAACCAAAGTGGTGTGAAGAAAAGGGAGTCTAGGCTAGTGGTGCTCAACCTTCTAGTTCTGCAGGCTGGATAAGTTGTGTGGAATAGGTCTGCAGGTCAGATCTTATATGTGGTCAGTTTGTGGGTGTGATCTCATGCACTGATCTGATCTCGCACACCAGATCTATCTGCACACCAGCCCAACCCTGAGCCCCACTGTGCACTGGCACAATCTAGTGCATGACTGATGCATATTCCTGGAGGCTGGGGAGGCCTGGCAACTGCCTGCAGGCGGCAGTGGCAGCAGTGGGGGTGTGGTGGCAGTGAGTGGGGACTGCTCACAGGCAGCTATGGTGACGTCGGTGGTGAAGATGGGCTGAGCAGACTCAGTGGCAGGGGGGGTGGCAAACAGCGGGTGGCAGGTGGGGACTGTCCACAGCCACCATTCACACTGTCAGTGGCACTGTTAGTGGCAGCAAGTGATGAATGGGGACCCTCCACAGCTGCTAGTGGCCATGTCAGCAGCGGGGGGTGGGGGGCAGCAACCACCCACAGAAGCCAGCGGCAGCTTCGGCAGTGGTCAATCTTGGGGGGGGCACATGCCCCCCTGTGCCCCCTCTACACCTTGCTTATGATCTAGTGCATAGGGTCATGTCATCTGGCTTGCAGGGCTTCCTACAGATCTGGACATTTGGCAGCTTAGGGCTGCAATTAAAGCTGTAGATGACATTGCCTCATGGGCTGAATCTGTCTTATGGGCCCAAGGTTAAGCACCATTAATTTAGGCTTTTAGCTCAGACTAAAGTGAAAACATATATAAGACAGAGAACAGTGAAAGAAGCCCAGAGTTACCTAGAATCCACAGAGATAGGCAGAGATGACCAGAGCAGGGTGCAGGGCCCAAGGCAAATCAGCCTGTGTGGGGCCCCACCCTCAGATGCAAGGAAGCCAGTGGCAGATTCAGCAGTGGGGTGGTGCTGAGCAGCCAGACATAAAGCTGGTGGCAGTTCGGAGGTGCCATAGCCGCTCTGCTTGGCTCTGTGGGCCCCCCACAAAGCATGGGGCCTAGGGTGCCCCAATTCACCCTCATCTGCCCCAGGGATAGCCCTGGAGATAGGATATTCTTTCACTTTTATTGCCGAAAATTATTTAGAAGTCTAGAATCATTAAACTATGGTGACAGTTACTTGCTTTCAAGAAATGAATCTCAGCATTTGAAGTGCCCTCGATAGATTATTTTTGGTGTTTTACATTGTGAATCTCTGTTGCATACTGTTGTTCACCTTTGGATAGTTATAGTTGAGATATGTGCTCTATGAATCATAAATCCAAGAAAGAACAAGCCAGGCCTCCCTTTACTTTCTTTTATGTGCCTCCAATCACAGTTCTTAGATAGTGAAAAATCAAGGGCAGATGGCATATGTAGGCGTAATATGTAAAAATAGAGAAGATATCAATGAATTATATAATGCTAAAGCACTGGGTTGGCACTTTTAAAGGAGTAGAATTAATTTAACTTTGCTACCATTTAGGTTGCTGATTTTGAAAATCCCACCTCTAGTGCATAGTAATGGTTAGACTGATTTGCACAGTATTGTTGTTGCTATGGATGTTCCAAAGGTATGAGATATCAGATTTGTGATGTAATATCTTTTTTTTTGTGCCAACTTGTAGCATGGGTGAGATAAATGGCAAGTATTTAGTTTTCAAGAAACCTTGTGGCTTATTTGAATTGATAACAGTTTATTTAATTCAACCTAATTATTATTAATGAATTTTCCCACATAAAAAAGTGTACAGTTATCCTCTATGGAGCAAAGAGAAGTTAGCAAGGGAGATTTGAAAGGTAAGTTAAAAGGAGCCATAAAATAGGAGTCTTTTTAAGTCCACATATGTTGGTACCTAGTAAAGTTAGGAATTTTTGTTCCTGGCCCTGTTTCCTGAAGACATAGCATCAGTTTCTTTGGAGGATAAAGACTGTGCATTAAGAGACAGAATTGTTGTCTTGTGAAAAATGTTCTCCTACTTTTTTAATTAATATTATAATAGTGAATGAATAATTCATAACATTCATCAGTAAATGAATTTCACTTCTTTCCATTTGCAAATTGTCCACAAATAGACTGTGATTTTTCTCATTTTTTAAAAATTAATCATATATTCTTGTCTAGGTAAGTATTATTCTATAATTTATTCATTTCAAGTATTCAAAATTTGCTTTCCTTAGACACCTAATTTTCCTGTTTTTGTGTTCTATTTCCTGACTGTTTAAGCTGAACTGTTAGAATGAGGTTTTGTTCATAAACAGTCATGAATTTGAAATTCATACTTGGCAAGCATTTTGTAATATTATCTTAAAATTGCCTCTAATATAGGTTTCCTGCGTGGGAACATCACCTAATTTCTCTGTATATGGATTTCCAAACTGTGATGGGGTGATAATACTGCCTTTATTTTGCAATTTTTGTGCCTGTTTACACTAGAAGTTCTTCAGGATATGCTATTGTATTCACATAAGGCATTTACCACAGACCTGATCTTGATATGGCCCCCTGGGTACTATTATAATATAAATAATAAAAACTAACAATACTTTTTAGAACATTTCTGCTGGGAAGCTAATTTTGTTTGCAAGTTAATAAAAAGATTGCAAGCACAGCCAAAGTGAATTAATTTAAATATTTGAACAAATAAGCATAGAACATTTTTAGCTGTATTCACCTAGCTTTAGCTTTAATAATACATAAGCTAGCAGTATGACCTATCTTTTTATATAACATCTAGTAAGCTTCATTTTTTTTTTTCATTTAATTGCTCAAAGATTACCTCTTTTGGAATTTCAACCTGTGTGAGCAGTTTAGATGCTGAGATATGGGAAGGTCAGCTCAATGGTTGTATTCAAATTACAGTTATACTAGCCAATTGCCCATCTAGAATGATGGGGGGGAGCGGGAGGGGATGGAGCCCCGTTCTCCCCACAGCCGGGCCTGCTCCCCACTTCCCTCCTGCTGCTTGGGGTCCGGGCCGACTCCCCCCCCTCCCTGCCGCAGCGGTGGGGGGAGGAGAGGAGCAGGCATGGGCCTGATGCAGGGGAGGACCTGGCCCAAGAGTGGGGAGAAGCCAGGCCGCCATAATGGTGGGGGGAGCATTGGGCCTAGACCAACCAGGCATTTGTCAGCCAATCAGAGTGTGAATAAAGTGTTATGGACAGACAGACAGACAGATTAAGGCTTTTATAATAGAATTGATGCACAACAGAATGCCTCAACAGACCATCCCCTTTCTTGTCTCCTTATATAACTCTAGTTTGGTCAGGTCTTCTCTAACTATAGCAGTGTCACACACAGAGAAATGTAATTTCTTAGCTAGGTTTGGGGATACGTAGGTCTATGCTGGTCAAAAGCTTTGCAAAATGTCATTTTTTGCCTGCTTGCCAAAAAGGTGGCGTATGCCCGGTGGAAGGGGGGTGAAATCTCCAAAGAGGAGTATACCTCCTCAGCTCGGGCCTGTAGGCGAGCTGTTAGGAAGGCCAAGGCGGACATGGAGCTCGGACTAGCGTCCAAGATTAAGGATAACAAAAAGTCCTTTTTCAAATATATTGGGAGGATGAAGAAGGTGC